CGACATTACTAATATTAAAAGAGGCACTTCTGGGTTTACGATATTTATATAGAAGTATTGGTATGGGCTCAGTTTAAATTTGTTTCAAATCTCTTTGATCAATTAAAACGTGTGGGCGAGTTAACTAATCATATAAAGGGTAGGATATATATAATTTTGTAATTTCAAATGTTGAACTAAACATTCAAATTTGAAAAAGCATATATCATCACTTTAAAATAATATGGCCTAACTTTGTAAATTTGGCATAAAAATACTCATACTTCAAGTATAGAATACACACTGATCTACCCCTGAAATACAAAACATGTAGCTGTCTTCTGATGCGGCCTTGATAAAGATACACTTTATTATAACAGCGGTATATGATTATCTCACCGAAACTGGCTATAAAACAAACATGCTCTAGAATTATATAAAGTTTTAAACCATTCTAGTTTATATAATGATTATAAGTAGACGCATTACAGTTTTTACTACATACCATATTAGCATACTACAGTTTCTATACTGTATTACAGTACAATTTCTATAATACTTACTGATCTTAGAGTAGTAATAATACTTAAGCCTATGCAGTGCTTGGAATAGCTAACGTATTAAACACTTTAGATCATGTTGAGAACGAAGCGAGTGTCCTTCACGAATCAAGTCCAGGACGTGACGTCACTATACGAGACTGGGTAACTTGCACAGTACAAAAAACTAGTTAGAAGCTCGTGATGGTGGTATCTATAACCAAGCTTTTAAATATCAGTCAGTATTTGATAGTTATACCTCCAGATTGCACCACTGGCGCTGTACCTTAAACTTATTCTTTTATCTAGCTCTCATACTTGCGCCACTTTTCCACATATAACTTGAATGAGTAGAATGAGCATTCATTCAGGAAACAGAAATTGGTAAGAATAGTTTTTTTTGTTTTTTTTTAACTAGTTGATAACATTCTGCATCTTCATTCAACGATAAATTTACCAGATATACATTAAGGCTTGTTTTGTGTTTCTTCTCATTTATCAGAACATAAACTTTCACACTTATTACCTTAAAGTTACACAGTTGAATATAAGTTCTACACTAATTAGTTTGAACATTGAAATTATTGTATTTGAGAAAGATTTCCAAAAGCAAGCCTATATAATATCAGAAAAGGTATAATTACATTTTCTATGGCCCATTTGTAATATATACAATATTGGAGATAATTATGGACACACACACACGTGATACACCACACGCACAAGTAACAAATGATGAGAAATTGCAATTAAATTGTTAATTTATAATTAGTAAAATACATTTTTACAGAAAATGAAAAAAATGATAGCAAATAATATGTACAATATATAAGGACACTTGGTTCGCAATCTGCTCGCCCTTTTAGCCATGAGGGTAATATAATGTGATGATCAATCCCACTATTCGTTGGTAAAAAGAGTAGCCCAAGAGTTGGCGGTGGGTGGTAATGACTAGCTTCCTTCCCTCTAGTCTTTCACTGATAACTTAGGGACAGGTAGCGCAGACAGCCCTCGTGTAGTTTTGCGCAAAATTCAAAACAAAGAAACCAATTATAATAATCTATGTCACTTTCATAATTGAACCGTATAGATTAAATGTTTATATATATATTACCGTACCGTGTTTCATTTTGCGTTGACATAAGTGTTATATACCATGAAAATTAATGGTGTATACACACACACACATATATAAATATATATATATATTCTATATTTTGTATTTTTCTTGAAACAGAGGAAGTGTTTGCTACCATAAGTTTATCAATGTATGATTGTGAAATATTGTTCTAACTGTTCTGTATTATTTTCCATAATTCAACCAAGTTGTTTGGTAACCATTTAACCTTCTTATTTTCCACATTAGCCCATATGGTCTTAACAGTATTCATATCGGAACTTCATTCAGGCTAAGCCTTGGTTAGTCGACTTTTTTTCTTTCAGATTATCGTCTCACCATATTTGCTGCATGCTTGAAATCTTTTCCAAACATATCTTGTTCCTAGAGGAATGGCGCGATGAATAGGAATCTGATTTTACAGTCTGGGTGATATCAATTTTCTGTACATTTCCAATACCATTGATTGATACATCCTCCACGTTTATATTTGTCTTCCATCATGCTTTACGGTAAATGTACTTTGACAGAGATACATTTACTTCTCTGCTGTCAACCAAACTGTCATTTATTGTTACCAAACAATTCGTATTTTGAATTATCTCTAAAAGAGTACCCTACTTCAGCTTTGTTCATTCCATTGTTTGAAGTCTGATACCTATTTCAGCTTTGTTCATCCCATTGTTTGAAGTCTGATACCAATTTCAGCTTTGTTCATCCCATTGTTTGAAGTCTGATACCTACTTCAGTTTTTGTTCATCCCATTGTTTGAAGTCTGATACCAATTTCAGCTTTTGATTTAGTTATCTCTCCTAAGCATTGGCTGTTGAGCAGATACACACCCACTGAGATCATTTTGTATCTTAATGTTCTGGACGTAATATTAACACTTTATACTTACAGCTATGTCATTAGCAAAATCTTTTCTAGATTGTTGAGTTCACATATAGAGAATACATTGAGTTACTTAAAATGACATTTGAAGACTTTGGCTTTCTGTTTCGACCACTTCTATTATCAACAGTATTAGTTTCATGTGACGTCTTTAGAGTTTCCACACATCTTCTAATATAAACATAAAACTTCGCAACATGTTACATTCATTAGTCAAAGCTGATTTATTGTGTGGTATTTCTGTTCTGGGAGCTATGAGTGCATTAATCATACTACTTTTAGAGAAAAAAATATGACTACCTTTACTTTTATATGTAATATCCTGGTGTGGCACTGTATGATTGGTGCAGCTTATTTTTATGCATTTTATACCCATCTTATTTACTGTTTCCATAAAAATTTCCAATACTATATGTATAACTGTATATATTGTTACGACATCGGAAGTCACGTGACGCTAGTAACACGTCGTGATATTCTCGCAGGTTCGTGCATGCTCGAGTGTTTACTAGATGTGCGTATTCTTGTATATGAAGTGACGGCAAAAATGTAATTGAATTCCAGTCAGAGATAGAGACGGACAATTGAATCAAGCGCGTGAATCGTTCGTTGTGAATTATAGCATTTGTTTAAGTTATAGCGTGATTGTGGAAATTAAGTGTATTGCAAAGTTGTATTGAGAAAGAATAAACTAGTTTTATTTAAGATAGAACTTGTATCGCTAAAGTTTCTTCGGAAATAATTTTTACGGAAAATTAACAAACGAACACAGAGGCGTAACAATATAAACAATCACGTTAAAATATATGAATACGAAAATATTAGCTTGAAAACAACGAAGAAACGCTAAATTTTATGAATGGCTGACGAAAAATGGAAACGGATAAAAATAAGGATATATAAAAACATCTATACTGTTAGTTTAAATACACTGTGTGTGCATATTAAAAATTACATTAGATTTGCCAAAATAAGCATCTAGACCATGCTTGTACTCACAACAAGAGGTGAACCTGAAAACAGATGATATGAACAACTTCTGTTTGTTTTTATTATGTCATACCTACATACCTAGACGTATCGTAATCAAGAAATTCACATGCCTTTAATATTTCACACAAGACCAGATGTAATTTAGAAGAGGAAATAAACACCTAAGATCAGATTTGATTTGACATGGCATATAGATCACAGAATGGGTAGGAACATTTTTAAATATTCTGTACTTAACTAACATAATACTTGCTTCTAGTAAGAAAACTGCAATAACAGCATTTCAGCTACACTTATGTGTTTGAAGTTATACTTTCAACGTTTTAATTTAGTTCTTTGTTAGATGGAACTGCTAATTTGATGATAACGCTATATTTAGAAAGTTTATAAAAGTAGTCCAAGAATACCTAGAATATTCGTCAATGTTAATGATCGAGAAATTTTGTGAAATATCTAGAAGCAAGGGTACATTATAAATACGAGAATCAGTGAAGCATTAAGTCAGTTTTCATTTCATTCAGGGATTGAGAAGTTACTGAAATATCCAGATCAGTATTAGTTATTATGTATATTCAGTTACTCGAACAATTAGTTGTGAAACCATACAAATAAGTCGTTGTACCATTAGCCAGTAAATTTCTGTTGAAAGTGAACATGTTATTTGTGAATTTAGGCCTCCAACTGCATAAAAGTAATAGTAACCTGTAGCAAACATTAAGGAAGAAATAAATTAATTTATTATCATTACATGGACTGGACATCACATTGTTTTAACCAAGTAATTCAAACTAACCCACCAAACGAAAGAACAAGTTACAACACGTGTGTCGACAGATATTTTTTACCGTCATACGATTCATACTCCGTTGACCTACACATTACATACCATGTAAATTATTGGTATATACATGATCACACTTATTATCGTAATAAGATTCGTGTTACGTTAGCTCCAGCGTTATATAGCATGTGAATTAATGGTACACCCACACACAGACAGACATATATATATACATATACTGTATATTTAAGTACATAGGTTATTATGCATATGCATTCACATGCGTTGCTTATATATATTATGTAACTGCATGTATACGAATTACATCAAGTTATTATACCCTTCCCAACTCGTGTAATGTATAGCTTCTACTCTTGATAACTTCGATTTCAACTGAACTATTTGAAACGAATCATTATTTATTCCTGACTGTTAATTGGTCTCCCCAGATATTTAACCACGATTGCATAAGAAATAAATATATTAGTAAAAAACATATTCCTGTATTTTCAAACCAACTTCTTTTCACGATCGAATTCCAACAATTTTTACTCATCCCCTACCGCATTCTATTTTATAGAGCTTCTTATTAGCCGAGTTATAGTTAGCTGTAAGTTGGATTTCCTGAATCGTAATTTCGTTTTCTGTTGTCGAATGTTTTTGAAACGCTTTTGTTTTTTTTTTCTGTTTTTTACAGGAAGCTTTGCTGACCCGATTCAGAGCCACTACTAATGTAAAAATTTGTCACATCATAATGAGTGGAGTCTGCATTATTTTGTTTCTGGTGTTCCTAGTTTACTGGATCACTTAATGTTGGACCCACAACTTTTCTGGAGAAGAAAAATTATAAGGAAAAAGAAAGATCTACATATCATCTGCTTTCTGAAGAAAAAAAAAAGGCCTCTAACACCAAATTTGTTTTCACGACCTCACCAACCGAGAAAGTATTAAATGCGCTTAGGATTTTCTTGTTTGTTTTGTTTTTCGATAATATTATTAGATATTAAGAAATCTGAGGTGTGTTGTGTGAAGATTAAGATAAAATATCATATTATATTGCGAATAAAATAAAGTTATTTAAAAGGTCATCGGCCACCAACTAAAACATGATTTATTTTTTGTATATCACAAATGAAATTCTTTTGATGATTATATATACTGTGTGGAAAATATCAGGGACCCTAATTAATATCTAAGTAAACACAAATGGTTTTGTTTACGCTCGTATGCATATTTATAGTTCCAAAACCAGGCTCACGTGCTGTGACGTCAGAGTTGTGGTAACTGTTCGGTCTACTACAATATTCGACGGGAAAGCGTTACTGATATTTACAATAACTAAATTTAATAATTATTAACGAATTTAAATTGTTTCTTATGTTTTAAAAATGCCTTACTGCGTTGTATGGGAATGCATGTAAAAACAAGTAAATTGTATGCACACGTAGGACTGCTTTCCAGTCACTTCAAAAAAGTTTTAAACTATTCTGTGCAATTTTTAAGATTTATTAAGTGATGTTACTTATAAAGCACGGGGTGGTAAGAAGAATGGTTTGCAGAAAGGGTGAAAAAACACGAGGGGAGCTGATTCCAATAACCCTTTTGATGAATATATATCAAATATACTGTAATTTACAAATAAATCATTACAGAGTTTTATATAGAAAACAATTATCTTACAAGGCTAAATCATCTGTTAGCACATTTTGGGTCTGCGAAGCGTCTTCCTATGATTCGTCCTCGAAAAAATCAGAGATTTCTTCAGTCTCAGATTCATTGTTAACATTTTTGGACAATGTTTCTAACTAATGCGGTTGAATATTGTGTACTGGTGTATTCTAAATCCACAATCCGGTATTCTATTGATTGTCACTAGATTTAATTCTATCATTCCAGCCGGGTAAAAGTACGCATGTCATAAACTTTTACAGTATCACGACAGAAAATATCCTTAACAGCGAGATGAAACAATTCATTCTAATTCTTATAAGTAGACATGTAAGAAACGTGTATTTAATTAGCTATACTGATTGCTAGGTTAATTTTTAGTTTCGTTCTGAGTACATAGGATCGGAAGTTAATACTGATTAACGGAAGTTAATACTATAGATCGGAAGTTAATACTGATTCAAAATTTAATCATACCACTTGATTATAAATATACGTAGTTTATAATTCAGACTTATATATATTAGATTTTAATTTGCTAATTCCAGAATGAAATACTTAAAAAAAAATCTCAACCTACCTTCAATTTTCTGTTTCAAGTAACGCATCTGAGCCCCGTTTTCACAATTTCACAAATACATTTTTATAAAAACGCACAATTATTACAACTGTTTGATTTTGGCGCCCATACAATAACAGTTTGCTGTAGTTTCTTCGTGTGTGAACTTCATAATCCTGCTCGAATATCCAAAAAAAGAAATTTTAACGTATTTATAGCTTACTTAGAAAGGCATATAAATTACAGTATTTTGGGGTATTTTATTCTAGTGACTGATATATTTTTTGTTTCAAAAAATGCATATTTTAAACAGGAAAGGAAATTGGTTTTGGGAACAAGGTACACGCTTAGAAGGAGCAGTTGGGTGATAAGTATAAAAAGCAAATAGAAAAGATAGGAGGTTCTTATTTTACATTCTAGCTTGTCAATATCGGTAATTTGAGTTTCTAATTCGTAAGAACATTCAACATACCACGTGACACATAAAAATCGATATTCAGGTGTGCTCTTATAATATTTACTTTTGAATTAAGAAATTAACTACTGTATAATACTAAAATTTGAATTATAGTTTATAATTTCATACCAAACTTATTGACATATAGTAGTTCAATAAAATTTTGAATGTAAGTCAACAAACGCGATGACATAACCTTTGACCCGTGGCGATAGGGTTAAAAACATCTTGAATGGTACTAAACTTAACCAATGGGGAAAAAAGTGCAAAGTGAGAACTAGGAACACGGCGTGTACCCACGTGTACCCATTTCCATCACTGATTTTAAAGCTGCGTGAATTATTTTATTGAGACCCAAATTTAGGAGAAAAAATTAGGCTTATGCTTATGCAAACATGTAAAACAGCTGGTGGGCTCTTGCTATGGTTCATTACTTTTATAGAGAAGAAAACTGCTCCTATGGATCAAAGTACAGGCAATAAAACCCTAAAATTAAAGAAAATGTATGTAAAAAGGTTAGCTGATATAACTGTAAATAAACGTAATTTTAAATATTGAAATAAATTACCATTCAATTTGTTTGTTTTGTTATTAAGCACAAAGCTACCCAAGGGGTTATGTGTGCTGTGCTCACCACTGGTATCGAAACCCAGATTTTAACGTTATAAGATTTCAGACTTATCTCTGGTGGTAGTGCCATTCAAAGAAGATGAAAAAGTGTATTGTTTGTTTTATTTCATATTTTCCAGCTTTCATTTCATTGTTCAATGATAATTTTGCTACATTTCGTGTTATGGCATAGTAAATAAGAGAAAAAATATATAAAGTCTGGCCGAAAAGAAACTGATGATATTCGTTTAGGATGTTTTAGATTTTATGCAAATGAAATGTGAAAATATCATATGGAAAAAAAGTATCTTTATTTTTAGCAATCTGCGAGCCGTGGGTTCGAATACCCTCACCAAAAATGCTCGCCCTTTCAGCCGTGGAGGCATTGTAATGTGAAGGTAAATCCCACTTTTAGTTGATAAAGAGTCCAATAGCTTATGGTAGGTAATGTTGACTAGCTGCGTTTTCTATATTTTATCACTTCTAAATTAGAGACGACTAAAACAGACAGCCCTCGAGTAACCTTGCACGAAATTCGAGAAACAAACAAACAATAATCAGTAAAGGCCTCGGAAATCCACAGACAAATCTTTAGTATAAATACTTTATTAACAACTTTGATTCTTTGTGCAGAAAAGACTTACTAAAAGCTTGCCAAATTTCAAAATTATAGTAAACAGTATTACGTATAGCCTTACAGATAGGAGGTCAGCTGAAACGTTTAGTTGTTTTAGCTCAGAACTGTGACGCAAAATGAAATATAAACTCATCAATAAAGCCAACTTCTAAGCGCGCTATAAAACAATGAGGTACAACTATTGTTATTATTCTTTTCTATGGTATCGAATTAATATAAAAATATGACATTATTTTTCGTGACCAGTATTGTTCTTTGTTAGCTTGAGAATGAAATATTAATACTTTTTATGAAAATTAAGAAAATATCAAGCGATTGTGGTTGTGTTCTATGATAAATACGACTAGATTCGAATATTTTCATTTTTATTTGCAATACAGAGGTTGAGTAGATTTTGTTAAAACCATTTTAGAGTCTCGCCTCGTCGTTACAGTCCATGTCGCCACGTCCAATCATGCTTTATCTGGCGACCTGCGTCTTGACTATGGTCGTGCAGCATAGTTTTCATCATAAAAGGCTCTGTCATAAAGCTATCACGTCCAAAGCACACCTCTACTTCCTTTTTACTCTTCATAATCCATCTAATATACGTACGAAAACAGCAGTTTTCCAGCATCCGTTTTAACAGTCCAATCGCACAGAAATACTTGACCGGTATATATATCTTTGTATAGAATATCATAAATATCTGTTTCATTCTCTTGTTTCTTGAGATATGGGACGGTTGAACGGATTATGTTGTGAAAACAACTTATGCTCTTTTTCCAGACGAAGATACTTCTTGATTATATTGCGTATTTTTGCTTGAAACTCATTGAGAATTTTTACGATTGCCCTTTGAGTTCGTGGATTCTCACTTGTTACAAGTCACTGCACATTGTTTAACACGTGTTTCTATGAGCAACACGACTTGCTCAATCCTACATAAAATTTTCTTACATTTTCCTATTTAACTCGTCATCTTCCCACATATTTTTACTTTAAGCGCTTTAAATACTAGCGGTGTAGCAAGACTTTGTTACACTCCAGTACTTTATACTGTGATTAGTAATATTTTTACTTTTTGAAAAATTTACTTTGTATAATAATATATATGCCAATAGCAAAACATTTTTAACTTTAAGTGCTAACTCAACTGTTGGTACACAGGAACTAACCACTCTCAATTTATATCCAGAACTTAAAACATTACCCAACTGAGCAACATTGGATCCTTGATCCAAGCTGTAAGCTATGTCAGGTCGTAGTACTCCAGGTCATGTCCTGGCCCCACTCACAACACATACTATTTTGAGTGTTTAAGTTCTATAAGCCAAAACAAGAGACAGGAACTGAGACAATGCGAGTACTGGAGGTCTTCCCTTGCACTTAGAGTTAAATTTCTTACCATAGTTAAACATCATGGACTCACCCCTCTACTCCCAGCACCAGGAGACACGGCTAAGTATCAACTAAACAGACAACCACGCAGAGAATCCACCTCCCAAAGACATAGAAAAGCCTTAACCCAACAATTAACTATACGAGGAATTTAAACCACGAGAAATCTCTAGAGCTATCATCTCACGCATAGTAACTGTCGAGGATTCCTCCCGAACTCCAGGATTGGGCTTCCAGACTCCATCTCATGTAGTCAGTCGCTAGGCCTTCAATTTAATTAACACGCTAATTATCCTAACTAAACCCTGACTGTGTTAAGAGAATGAGACATGTCTCATCCTTATCCTGCGGCCACAATATTTTCTACAAAAAATACTTGAAATTATAAAAATACTCACCTAAAAACATACTTACCTGTTTACCCTTCTCCGATTGCTTCCATTTTCCTTTCATCTGTTTACCCTTCATGATCTGCTGTAAACTTTTCTTGAAGAAAAAGATGTGGAAATTAACACATATCCATTGCTGACGACACGTTTCGAGACCGGCTGGGACACAACAAAGTAATGGCTGGAACACATTTGCTACAAGAACTACTGTTATGGTCAGGGCCGCATTAACCGTGGCGCAGTTGCGCTAGGGTCCTAAGTGGTGAGGAATCCGTATTGATGATCCGAATCGTCAATTTAACTCTCTCTTTTTTCGATAAATCTTCATATTTTATCTTTTATTTGTTCTATTACTAATCAATACAGACTAGATCAATTTGACCGACATCGTAACCAAAAAACAAAA